ACAAACGAAAGCTGTTTGGGATGGTTTTTAAATTTGTAGGGCTATCTGGGGAGAATCTAAGATAACATTAAGCTTTTGCAGGTGAACAGATGTTATTTTCTCCACAGAAATAAACAATAAAGAGTCATATTTCCAAGTTAATGGTCAAATAAAGCTATAGTTATATAATAGTTATATTCTTCAGTGACTATCTGTGAAGTTTTGTGTTGATAATTTTCTCCCTTGTTGATCAAAGTTAAAAATGTTCACTTGAAAGAATGCTTTCAAGTAAATAAATCTTTGAAACAGTTAAATATAGTTTGAATATATAGTTCCCATTATTGCAAACAGATCCTGATAAGGTAAAGCCATTGGTCATGGAATACAAAGCGTTGGGTTTAAAGGCTGTGAATTCGTTGTCTATGTCACGTTTGCACTTTGAGAGCAATCAGGGCATCACCTTGGGAGTTATCATCAATAGCTTCACTTGGGGGAAAGAAAACAAACCATTAAGGTGTTAAATCTATTTTATCCAATTTTACCAATTGTTACATTACATTCTTCCAATCCAGAAAGACATTAATGTAACATACGAATGAATGGGCATGCTTTTGAGAAAAAAAAACAACTGAATAGAAACATAGCTTCTCAAACTGGTTACAAGAGTATTATCTGCTGAAATAAAGCCAGCTGCCATGCCCCAAACAGTTCATTGCTGCTGTGGTAAATTGCACAGAGCAGAATAAACATTCCAGAATGCTCTAATTAGCTTACCTATGAACAGCTTTTTGAAAACTGTACTTCTGATTCAACTGGACACAGAGCAGCTCTTCTAAAGCTTTACTCAGCAGCTCAGCTGTTCATTCTTGGTGCTTTTTAGCACAACACATCCATTTCCCAGATTGCATCCACAGCAAGGGTGGATGGCCTGGTGCACACTAAGGACTGCATCCTCCAGGTTCTCTCCTATTCTCATTTCCATTTGCTAGAGCAGTCTGAGACCTACACAAGCTCTTTCCTCAGTGTCAAAGCAGCAAGAAAAAGCAATACTTAAAAAATAAAAAAAAATTAGGGCCTGGGAAACAAGATGGCAGCAGAAATTTTGTGTAGGTAAGCGTGAAGTAATGTGCAATGAAAGGAACAACTTGAACTATTCATATACACTAATGGTTTGCAAAATCACTCAAGAAAAGATCTAGGCGTTACAGTAGACAGCTTAATGGAAACTTCTGCTCAGTGCACAGCAGTGGTCAAAAAAAGCAAACAAGATGTCAGGCTGTATTAAGGATGAATTGAAGAATAATGCTGGAAATAATAACAATACCATCAAATACATCAATAACATATTCTCCATTTTATGAGTAGCTTATTTTGCTTTTGTTCTATGAAAATAAATACCTAACACAGGAAAAAGGGAATTAAAAGGGATTTAAAGGCAGAGGTAAACATCTACAAAATGAAAGATTTTTAATAGTGTCAGAATTGTGACATCACTCAGATCATCCTTCTCTAAACAACTTACCTGCTTCTCAGTTCACCAATTTGTAAATAAGGACAGACGAAAGCACTTACCATTGTCATATCTATAGAGATGAATGGATGAACAGTGATGCCACAAAGATATCATTTGCCTCTTATTCCCAACACAAAAGGGTCAGTTCCTCTCTGCTCTCCCATAAACTCAATACAAGGCCCAACCCAACAGCGCTTCTCATCTCAGCTGCCGCTGTACCCATCACCTTCTATTCAAACTTAACCTATACCCCCAAGTCCAGCCCAGCACCTTAACCAAAATCCTTCCCCTTTTCACCCCTTACGTCTCTCCTTGCCTCACACCCAAACCTACCACACCTGGCCCACCCTCTGCTGCTCCTACCATCTCTCACCAATTACCCCACTGCTCCCAACATGGCTTTATGACACCTTTTCCCTCTCTGCAGGCACAGCTCATCACCCTAGCTCCCTCAGCTCTGCTGTCAGTATGATCAGCACTGCTGGCCATCCATCAACAACCTCCCTTGCAGTACCTACGCAGCAGGCAGCTGCTCCATGCTCTACAGACCGCTGACAGACGGGCACGGTGTGCTTAACATTGTTGCTTACTACTGACAGTACACTAGAAAAAATAAAACCAGAGGTTAACTTACAGCAGAAGAACCCTTCCACACACACACCATCCGTTCTCAATGCATACATTGTTTAGGTATGAATTAAAACAGAAGTATCTCTCCTAATGGCCTGATGTGACAGGTTGAATGCTGTCCTGTGAATTATGGACATGATATACCTCAACCTTTGTGGTTCCTAGGGTAGAGTGCTTGCTGAACATAGATGTCAGATTTGGTAAATTTAACATTGTTTAGTCTGAGTGTAAGTGAGGAAAATGGGAAACTCATCTGCCCAGCAGCAGGAGGGTGTGGAGTGAGGCAGTGTTGTTTTCTGCAGAGTATTTTTATGACTGGGCTCTTGAGAGCCTGAGATGTCACTAGGTCCCTGGGCTGTGAAACCAGCAAGGGAAAATATGAACTGATTCAGTTTTATATAACTTACAAATGCATTTAGCATTTTCTGTGACAGAGAGACGGCAGTCAGAAAATTTAACTGTTTCCTTTGTGAACTTTATTTTGTTTATCTGGAAGCTTGCTCTGTGTCAGCAGAATTGGCAGCCGTCTCATCCAGAGCAGCAGCAGGGCATTTTCCCACATATTAAAATAAATTCTAATTTCAAGAAAAAGGGAAGAGAAAAAAAAGAAAGAAAAAAGAAAGTTATGCCGTGAAATGGCATTATTACCTCTAACAAAAAGCATATGGAATAGTAGCTTGCACATAGGTCTGGGAGCCAGGAATAAATCAGTGCTAGTCTAGACATGCTGATTCCAGCTGTGGTCCTGAAACAAGCTGTTAGTGCTAGAATTTGATTAAGTCTAATGCCCATCTGGATGATGAATGAAGGCAGAATAACACTGTCCCATCAGAGCTGTGCTAGAGGTACTCGTATTGTGGCTGGGACACAAGGAAACAAGGGCTACCCATTGCATTTTGATTTCTCCCAGCAACTGACTGAGTCCACAGCCAATATTAGAAATCAGCTTGGTATGTCCTATGGAACAGTGGCTTATCATATGGATCTCCCCAGTATAGGCAATGTAGCACAGGAGATGTCTTTATTTAGTCTTGGTCCCCACTTCTAATTTAGTACGGCCCCCAGTCATGGTCCCTCTTGTGCTTTCTCCACAGTGACTATAACATTTAATTAACTTATATTTATATGCACTCAGAAGATGGAAAACTCTATATACTACGTATTTAAGGTAATTACCTCACAAAAAGACATAAATTAACACTGACCAGTGATGTAATTTCAGAACACAGATCACTGGCAGGGACTTAAGAACCCCCACAAACACACCTCCTCCATTCTGCCCTGCTCCCTCTGCCTCCTCCCCTGCCCCAAAAAAGCGAACCCCTCCCCAGAGCACTCTGATACAAAAACCATTTGCACCTCCTTTCCTATTATCCTCTTTTCAAGAGGCAAAAGTGTCCCACTTTATCTTTTTTTTAGCTTAATTTCTGTCATCCTGGGACAAAACCATTTGCTCCACTACACAGACTTTATTCACCCTAGACCAAGTTCCCCAAGCCCTTGCAGAGCTTATGAAAGGCGTTTTCACTCACTTGGGTTAAATGAACACTGTGTATTTTCTTTCTTCTTCCCCCCTCTGCCCCCCTTTCTTTTTGGGCTAAGAGTAATAAATGAATCATTTCAACTTTGGGCAAGGAGTTTAGGTGTTGTATTTGTACCATGCAACTACATAAACACAGAACGAGCCAGTTAACCAATGAATGGCAGGAATTAGAGGTATTGAGATGATCTAAAACATTTTAACACATTTTTCCATATATTAGCCTTTGGAGTAGTTGTGTTTTGCTTTCTTACAACAGACACAAGTCAGTGAAGTCCAAAAGGAAAGTCTGAGGTTTTACATTTCTGTTTGTGGTACAGGAAAAGGGTTACGATCTCAGTGGTTGATTCAGTGAAATAACATCTCTTTTATACACATCTGCCTCGCAAGTAGGGCGGTAGTTGGAAATACCCAATCTAAAGCATTAAAGATTTGCTGGCAAATAGCAAGGCATTTTCTGCTAAGGAAAAATTGTTATATTGAGTAGTCACTTTGAGTGTTCAGGAGCTACAGTCAAATATCCAAACAGTGTGGAGTTGCAGTGCATTTATTATTTTGTCAAGTGTTCAACACGCTGGGAGCTGACTCTGCTGTGTATTCCATGCCTAAGAGGGGATGATAATAACGAACCTAAGTGAGAAGATACTTGGCAATGGTAAGTGATATTTTTTTATCAAATTATTTGGGCATCATACAGTCAACTGTTTTTACAAGTCAGTATGTATCATTTTCAACTGCTTTTATTCAGGAATTTAAATGAGGAGAGTAGTCAGATAAGATATAAAAGCAGGGGTGTTTCACAAACTGTATTTTTGCCTTTCTATATGTTGTCATGGGTGTTTTGTTTTTAAGTTATGTGAGAAATTTGAAGGAAGTTGTTGAATGATCAGCCTTACTACTTAAAAGAGAGATGCTGTGCATGGAAGTATCTTAGTTCAGGACACATTCACTTTGCTATATAATATTTCTCCTATTTCTCCTGACTCACATAAAATCAGCAGACTGTACAAGGAAATTTTGTGAGCTTGCAGCTTCCTGCAGTTCTGAAGGCCTCTCTAAACTTGCTGTATTTGAGGCAGACAAAAAACAAAAGCATAAATCAAGCGATTCATTACTCAAATGCATTTAAATCTTCAATTCTCTCTCAATAGCAATTAATCTCCATTAGAAAAAAAAAAAAAAGAAAAAGAAAAAGGAATTCATTTTGAAGCAGGATGTACAGAAGAGGATATGTGATTTTTTTTTTGGCTTTTGCTAAAGCTCATCATTTTTCAGAACTGTTTCTAACCTTTCTGCTCATTTCAAGAGCTCTGTAGCTGCAGGCAGTACTCTTCAAATCTTCTGTTTTTCTTAAAGATGCAATGCAGAAAAACACATTTCCACAAGAACTGGACAGGGGCACAACGTAATCCTCTGAAAACACACACACATTTCCAATCCGTTTTAGAATTCAATATTAATATGATTAGTGTTTCAAAACATACTTCCAAACAAGACATCCAAATGCACTATTTACTCAAATCTCCGTATGAACCAGCCTGTGCAGGAAATCAGTAAATTAGCCCAGAGTCTCAGCCTCCAAGGAGATGCATATTTGTTTAGTCATATGCTATAAATAACGCCTGTAGTCTCGGGACTTTGCCAACATTATTAATGCAGTGTTCACTTAATGGTCTCCTTTATTATGGACCTCATTAGTAGCTGATTCATGCAGCATGAGCCTACAGAAAAAACACGCAGGCTGGTGTAACACACCGACACTGGTGATGTATGTCTGTACAGCCACTGTAACCTCATTTCTGTGCAGCTGGCATGCTCAGAACCAAGCACACACCTCCTGGCCTGCAGCCCCTGGGGAGATGCAGTCAGCTGTTACGTTTCCAGAATTATCATATAGAATGAATTTTGTATGCAATATATTCTGCATAATGAGATGGATTGGTACAGGACATCCTTACTTGACAGAAACAAATACTTGTTTTCTAAGAGTTGTTTTATTGTCTAATTAAAAGAGTACAATTTAATTATCTTATAGTACTTTTTATCCCTTCCCATCCAAGAAAGAAGGTGATTGCCACAACTCGTTTCAACAGACAGGGATCAAGAACAGGAGGGGAAGTAAACTTATCCAGTGTCCAATACTCAGGTCACTATCAGAGCTAGAAGATCTCCACTATAGTGCTCTGTCAAAAACTGGGCTGTGGCAGAGTGTGACCACTTTATGGAGTGAGTGGAGTGTGTTAGACATGGTTGATGAGGTTCACTTATACATACTTTAAGCAACTGACAAAGATTAATGGGGAGCTCAAACTGATATTGACAAAACCTTAACATCTTTCTGTCTATTTTACACATAAAGGTCCTTCATTTTGGCCATAAACAGGGGTCCTCTCCTTCCCCCTCTTCAAAAAAAAAAAAAACCCTCAAACCAACAACCAAAAACATGCAAACAAAAAAAAAAACAACAACAAACCCAAACCTTTGAAACTCCTCTTTGTTATAAGTAACCCCCCAAAATCTGGGTATTCTTATCCCTCTAACTCTTACTTGAGTTGTATCTTTGAAGGTCCACTTCCCAAACTGAATGACAATACTCATCACCAGATTAGAAGATGCTGAAGAAAAAGGAAAGGGAACCAAACTAGAAATCTTGGGTTCCAGGTTGTGTGGTTGACTTGGAACATGATGTAGGGCAATTATTTGGGACTGAAATTCCAGAAAAGACTGTTCCTTTTGGGAAATTCAAGCTGAGACACAGGATTTTGTATTATTTCTTATAGAGAGAATATTAGATATTCTCTGGATTCCTACTAAAAAGTGAGCACACATGAAGAAAGGACACCAGAAAATGTCATCTACATCAGCTGCAAAACAAACATAGTAGCAGTGATGTGAGTTATAATGGCTTCTTACAGAGTAAGGAAGCTCTTCCTAATGTAATGGAGTTTACTTACCCACTATCTGGTAGCCCTGGACTACAGACACTGTGAGACCAACAGTTGTTTTTCAGTTTTAAAACAGAATGTCACAAAAGTAGAAAAATAATCAAATGTTAAGAAACGCAGTAAAGTTTCATGACACCTGAATTCCCTCCACCTTACTAATTTTAAAAAAATAAAGTAAAATAAAAATGCTGGGGAAGTGATGAAGGTCTTTAACGTGCCAAACATTAATTTTCAAGCTCTAATGTACAAATGTCAAAATAAGAGTCAATGAGTATGTGGATACAGAGACATTTAAAAGAAACAGCAACTAACAGCCTATCTGTGCATACAGCAAGTTCTCAAGACTAGTGAGATAATGTCTTTGCATCCAGATTTGATGCTATCCTAAAATACATGCTCTACCTGAAGCAGAAATCATTATCATCAACACAGGAATTACAGCTTAAACTTCTCTTTGTCAGATTGATGAACTCAATGTAACAACACCTCCTGAGCATTAAATCTGTGATTCTGTAGGAAAAAAAAAAAAGTAAAACCAATGTCAGGAATCCTCAGGAGATCTCTTGGCTGCTGTTATTCAACACCAGGCACTGCTCTAAATTTGTAGGCTTATCTCAAAGCATGGGAGAAAAGCCGTCTCCCCAAAACATGAGATTCCTCGGTGCTTAGGATGCTAAATCTGGCTCTTGCATCATCTGTCACACCTACAGGCAGGGTGTCATCAGATCTTGTGAAGCACTAGAGTCATTCTGCTTTGTGTCTTACCAGGGAGCTATTTTTTGCAACAGATTATACAGTTTCAAGCACAAGAAACCTGTGAGATAATTTAGTCTCATCTTGCTGTCAACAATAATGCTTGTGAGTAATGGATGTGACTCATATCACTGTTAGAAGCTACAGCACAGAAGTGAAGAGCAAGACAGCTGCCACTGGAACTTTATGCCGGTATCCTCAATGCCACAAATAAAAACCATCAGCTCAGTTTCATTCTAATTGTCACAGACTTAGTGATAAAGCAGCAGAAACATGAAGGGTCTTGAAGACTTTGTGCAGAGAAGTGGCAGTGTTAAGTAGCTTTACCTCTGCCAGGCATCAGGAATGATAATTATAAAGCCTTGCAACAGAAGTGACAATCTATAAAAGCAGTGAAGTCATCTTATTTAGGCAGAGATATCTAAGAAGAAGAGATTACATAATTCCTCATCAACCACTGAAAAAGCTAAATTGAAACAAAAATCCCCACCAAGATTCATCAAAGCCAGCAACCAAGAAGGACCATGCATACTACCTATGGCATGCTAAGGGATGGTGAAGTACAGGCCTTCAGTGAGACTGAGATTGGGCTTTGAAAGTGGCAAAGAAGAAAATTCTGCCAATATCCTCAGAGATGAAATGTATTCGTCTTTTCACTACTTCCCTTCATTCATATCTGGCTTCTCAAGGCATAAAACAAAACGCAGTAGCAACAAATATGACACAACCCAACGAAGACTCACAATAAAATGGAAGACCAGACAGATCTAAATACACCTTCTAATACTGAACTTATGAAACATTCAGAGAAATTTTTCATGTGATTTTTGTATGTAGACTAAGTTCAGTTTTCTTCTGCCCTTTACTTTTTTGCTCAATGAATCACAGTTTTGGCAATTAATAATTCCCCTTTCATTCAAACTAAAGGGCCCCTTATTTCAACTTACAGTTCAGGGGACTATAAATCAGAAGGAATGCAAAATCAGATGAAAAAGGAACACTATGTGATTGGAAATGCAGAATGAGGAAGTAAAGTCATAACCTTTAAAAATATTTGCTTTAAATTAGAATGACAACATACAGGCAATGTTTTTACTACTCTTGTGAACTCTGTATCAGTCAATGGCTTTACAAAAAAATAGACAGATCTAGTCTTCAGTACCTGATATTTAGCAGTTTCATAGCTCAAACACAAATATCCTGTAGTATTTCTCTAAGATGAACACAATCATTTATGCATAGTCTATAAGACCCAATACAAAAATATTAAATGAGCACAACTCAAAACACTTTGCTCCAAGGCTATGATTCTTGCTAGGCCTCATCTACCATATGACGGCTACAGTCAATGTTCCTCACGCCGACTCCACTGTTACTGCTCAGTTAGATAATCTCTTAATGCAGTATTTCTTTGGATCACATGGGATACTTTTCTGTAAACAAAGCATTGTATGCACAGAATAACATACTGCATAGAGAATGTCAGAGAGAGTGAGAGTGCATGTCATGCAACGCACATGTAGTTGGGAATACAAGGCCCAGGAACCTTGACTAACTCACAGGGAGGCATTTCACTTGGAAACAGAAGAGGCTGCAAAGCTGGATACCATTATGAAAGAGTCAGGTAACAAAGCTTGCAAAAGGAAGTGGACTTAAAAAAGGATCTGAAGAAAAAGGAGGAGATCCAAATGTATGAAAGCAGCACGACGCTGAGGGAAAGGAGGGGCAGCAAAGGAAAGACAGAAGTATGTGGAAGATAAAGGATGACATCAGTGAAGAGATCAATGAGAAGAGGATTCTACAAAGGCTTGAAGAGCAGGGCATTTTTCCTAGAATAATCCTAGACGCAGCAAATCTGAAGCAAGTACAAGGAAGTATATTTTTACATAACACATGAAACTCATTGCCTCTGGATAATCAAAACTTAATGGAAGACAGAAGTGGATAAATTACAGTTACTTAACACAAGATTCATTTCATCTACAGAAGAAAATTCTTTGTGCTTCCTGGCAAAAGCAGGTACTAAGTGCTGAAAGGAACTGGAAAGAGCTTTACCTAACTTGACAAACTGCAACTACTCATCCATTATGGGCCTCATAAGCTTCTGCTAAAACAGTGCTATCCAATCATAATGTAAAAAGCTCCAGCAATTCTGGAATACATAGAAAACCGCAGGGTGTCAGCCTCTTCTTATCAACAAGGCACTCAGAAGAAACACTTCCTGAACGCTGATTATTTTTTTCTAAGCTAATTCTATTGAAGCAATTGCCACTAGCCTTTGCTGGAAAGAGATACTGGATGAACTGTGCTGATAGGATGATTAAATATACCATTTCCTACGTTGCTATGTTTTGATGGATGGGAGGCAGAGTAAAAGCTTCACAACCCAAGACTGAAGTGACTAATCCAGTCCTGGCTTAGCAATAAGAAGATGGACTGTCTTGTGCAACATAACCGCTTTCTGGACTAGGCAATGTGTGAAAATTGTGTCTGTGATTAAGATAAAACTAATTCTTGTATAACCTACCGTAAAAACATACTTAGTAGAGGGTTGGACTAGATAATCTCCAGAGGTCCCTTCCAACCCCTACCATTCCATGATTTTGTAATTCATCAGTTTGCAGAGCAATATAAGGACAGGACAAAAGCTAGCATACCTCAAACTATTGGCTTCTTGGCTTCTTCACCTATTATCACAAGTATGGGGTTGGGTAG